GCAAAAAGCTTCTTTGTGGGCCCCCCTTTGCTTCATTACTTCATTAATGAGGAACCGAACTCTAGGAGGTATTTAAATTTTTACTTCATTATACACATATAGCAAGAAAATTGACGAGAACATAAAATAGCTATAAAGTCCCCTCCAATTTTCAGACGAAACATAGGTCTGTCCATTTTACTGATTTTCTGACAATTCTACTTCTATCATGCCGAATGCAGTTTTATGATTGTTAACTTTGTCATCTAGCTGCGAAAAATTCATATCCGAAAAATTCATCCATATCATTAGGGCGGAATTCAGCTAAATATTCGCAATTATGATGGCCAATCAGAAGCTTGTATTTTTGTAAACATATCTCATTTTGCGATAGGTAAAAGTACAGGCTTTTGATTGGTCAAATTGTAATTGCGAAAATTTAGCTGAATTCCGCACTAGAAGGTTATGGATTTAAGCAATATAGATTTTCTGTCTTCGTACGATAGATTAATGAAAAAGTTAACATATAACTGACGGATTTTACACTGTACTGATATTTTGTTTAAAAGAAGTTCATTAAAAACGAAAACCTAAAATTAATTTTCTATTCGATTTGGGGGCCCCCTTCTGATGTGGGGCCCAGGGTAGCTGCCCCTGCCTTAGTAAGGCTCTACCAATTATTCACTAAAATTTTATAATTAGAATCTAAATAAAGTATGTATTAGAATGACGAATGACAGGGTCAAATAAAATGATAAATCAATCTTTTTTTTTCATTCTCAAAACTATTTTTAAACTCATCATTACCCCTGTCAAAAGAATTATTTTTAAATTTTATAAGCAGTTTTCAACAACAACTACAAAAAATAGTGGGCAAAATTAGTTCAGTTGTCTGGGTGACTTTGTCCATGATGTTTAACAAATTTGTTATACATTTTTAATTTCAAAAATTTATGTATCTCAGTCAGATTTAAAATATAGTTTACATTAGGGAAAAAGTATTAGATATAGTGTTACAAACCGTGTCCACCTCCTAACATGCTTCTGCCATATCTTCCGCTATATCGTCTACCTTGTCGCCCAGCACCAAAGAAAGCTATGAACATAATGAAAAAAAAAATTATTAACACTGACTAACAAGATATAAAACCAACAAATTTCAGAATCTGCAAAAGCATAATATATACATTAAACTATATTTTTCACGAGAAATGAAACCTAAGGAAAAGATTAGACTCTTACTATTATGGAAATCACAGACTATTATTTAACTGACGTGAAACAACTTATTATGTTATCAAGATATGCAAACTGATATGGAGTTGTTGTTTTTTACCAGTCCCCATTTTTATCGTTGTTTTACATCAGAGCAGGGCTAAAGAGAATAGAAGGGCTAGTTCACTCCGCTCTTAGAGCTGAAGCTACGATCGCTCTTAACCTAAAAGATAAAAAGAAACATTCATTTTTATTAAATGGATGTCCAATATATATTTTTTTTATTAATAAAAGTAGAGAGAACGAAACAAACGTTAAAGTTTATATCGGCGGTAAATTGATAATGACTTTAATACGAGATATGTGTTTTTTCTTATTTCGAGTTAATTGTCTCGAATATTCTGAATTACATCAGAAAAAAATTGAAAGTCAATTATTCCCCCTTGTAATTGTGTTCATTTATATTCAGGCAAATTAATTAATTTTTTTCCTACAACATTTAAAAAAAGACAAACAATGAAGGAAATGCAAAAAAAAAATGAACAAGAATTCTATCTTAAATTCAGTGAAAACACCTAATTTTGATGGAATTTTGAATGTATTAAACCAGAGAGAAATGTGACTGTTTAAAATTTACTTCCTGCTTTTGACTAGAAAAATAATTTGGGAATATTCAAAGAAAATTTGTTTTGCGTGTTTTAACTTTAAAATAAGCTTCTGTAACCATTTTTGCACAATTAACTAAACTTCTTTAAACCATTAAAATCTACTTATAAATAGTGTTTTTTAAATCATTTTGAAATAAAGAATACAGTTCTGACCGACAAGAGTGAACTATCTAACTGATTAATAAAACTTACTTATTTTTGAATAAAATTACAAAAAATGTAGCTTATTCAAAAACGATATTTATTGCCGATTATTATTATAAAAATTAGAAATGAAAACGATTATTATTATAAATAAAAACGATATTATTATAAATAAAAACGATATCATTATAAATAAAATCGTTATTATTGTATAACGATTATTATTCTAATAAAAACGATTATTATTATAAATAAAAACGATATTATTATAAATAAAAACGATATTATTATAAATAAAATCGTTATTATTGTATAACGATTATTATTCTAATAAAAACGATTATTATTATAAAAATTAGAAATNTTCTATGTTCATTTGAGAAAATATGAATGGATATAACAATCTAGAAAATAACAAATGTCTTAGAATATCTCGCAAAAAGAAATGCTCCAGTATTAGTTAGAGCTAGTAAGGCCGAACGCTCCGTTCTTGAAGTAAAAGTGCGAGCTTTGCTCCAAAGTGACGTCACTAGAGAAAATCGGAGGATCGGTGCGGCGAGAGCTACTTCAAAGAAGTGAACCAGCCCTTCAATTCTCTTTAGTCCTGCATCAGAGGTAGAATAGAAATATTTACATTAATAAACACTTCGAAAGATTTCTTCACATAATCGTATTCGATTTTTTTATAATTATTCTTACGAATTATCAACAAATCAAATACGATTTGGATACGATCGATAATAATTTAATTGAATATTTAATTATTATTAGGCTAAAATGAATTGTGAAAATAATAGCAAAGAGACACAATACAAGGAAGTAAGAGCCCTTAAAAAGGTTATGGATTATGCATTTTGTTATTTAGAATGTTATCTGTTTTACTGAAAACCAAAACTTAAATTTCGCTATTAGTGAAATACTGGGTTAAGATTAAAAAAAAAAAAAAAAAAAAAAAAAAAAAAAAAAAAAAAAAAAAAAGACAAATAATAAGTGCAACTAGATTGTGTTTAACAGAAATTAAGATCATAGTTTAATTGTTATCTAATAACATAAAAAATTATTGAATTTAACAGAAATTTAAGATCATAGTTTAAGTGTTATCTTATAACATAAAAGTAAGATTGTATTTAACAAAGTATTTAACACTGTATTTATCAAAGATTGTAGTTGGTTTAGCAAGGATCGCAGTTTGGTTTTCCCTTGAAGGTTGGTTTTCCCATGTCTTGTTTAAATTCTGTTTTTATTGTGCTAATAAACATTAAAAATTTTGATAATGTAAAAATCTCCGTAAAACAAATTTTAAAACAAAACCATTCAAGAATTTAAAATAAAGCTAAGGTAAACGTATATTAGGTACGGGGTAAGGAAGAAAACTACTATTGATGTCATAAAAGCGTTAATTCTTATGACATAACTTGAGTAATTTGACAAAGTGGACAAATAAAAAGTAATAGAATGCTACAAAACATATGCAGCACCAGATGAACAAATCAAATAGTCAACAATGTCAAAATAATATCAAGTAACAAACGCTGGCTGAAAGAGACACATCAACAATTTCAAAAATGTGTTTAAAGCTTATAATCCTATAACATTATATTAAAATGCTTAAAAAAAATTTTTTTAAACATTTTTCTTGATGTGTGTGATGAATCATAATAAAGTTCTAGTGCAAAATATTATGATTCCTATAAATAGACTTTATTTTTGGCAAAATGTGTATAAATGGTTTCATAAAAATTTTATTGACATACATGTAAGTCTCTGAATCCAATTATTAGGAATAAAAGCTAGTCTTTCCTGAAATGTAATTTGATTCTTATAAATTGCCTATACTCACGACTGTATTATTTTGTATTTCAAAGCTTTGTAAATTCTGTGAATTTAAAAAAATTTGCCAAAAAATTTTCTTCGACAAATTAGCAATGTTGTTAAATTGGAAGCATATGTTATTATTGGTAAAAAAGTAAATATAAAATGCACACCGTATCTATTTATATCACTGCTTGCACCATAGCCTCTTCTAGATGCTGCTCCATGTGCTCTGTCAAAATCTCCCCCATATCTTTGAACACTAGACAGACCTATAAAAGGTATAAAAAAATTCAAAAATAAACGCAAGATAGAAAGAAAACAGTGAAATTTAAAAACACCGGACAAATTTTGAAAACTTGTTCAAAATTTATAATTCTATAAAATTAAATAAACATGCATTCACATATTTTTGAAAAAAATCACCGTCATAATTAACTTATGTGGTCAATGCAAACAGTTCAATCGGGATTTGAAAATGAAGCTGAATATTAAGTGAACATAAATATACTCGCATACACAATATTTATTATTACTATGATATATTATATATTAGTTTGTAACATGTTATCATTACAACCTACGAAATGAATAAATTAAATACAAACGAAATGTATAAATAATCTGGAATGTGGGTGATAATTATCGTGTTCAATAATGGCAGAATTTTTCAATAGACGTGAATTAGAGCTGACGGTACAAAATTAATAAGGTCGAACTTAATAATATCAGACCACAAAATTGAGTAGATTACAGTTAGTGTTATTTTTTAAAATTTATTTTTTTTAAAAAATCACACAAAAAAAATTATTCTACTCCCTTCAGAAAAGCAAATTTAAAACCGCAGAACTGAGACAATCAAGTAACGTTAAAAAAATTAAAAAAATTAATAAAGACCTTCTTTCTGGTAAAAAAAAAGTAATACAACGATAAATACCGTATCTGACGCCGCTTACGCCATAACCTCCACTAGATGCTCCACCATATCCCCCAGCCCTAGACATGCCTGAAAAATGTATAAAAACATGAAATAATTAATATTAGTCGAAAAGAATAAAAAAAGAAGTTTCTTTCTTACAAACATATCTTACCCATGCTACTACACAAAAATTGATTTTTAGAAATATACTCTATCTCTGTCTATATCATTTAAAATTTCTTTTAAGATTTGCATCCGAAATTTCATTCCAAATTCCACTTATTTTGAAAGCAAGCCCAGTTTATCACCAGAAGTGACAAGTCATGTTGAGGAAATAAAGTTACTTTCTTATTTGAAAAAATGATATAATGATACAAACCATATCCTCCACTACCGCTGCTTGCTCCTCCACCAGTTGCCCCACTATGCTCTCCGCCAAAATGTTCACCATATACCCCAGCACTAGACAAACCTACGATATAATTATTAAATACTGTATAAGTGTGAAAAAAACTCGTATATACTGGATGAAAAAATGAGGCATCAGCGATCATAATTCTCTGAAACCATGTAAGAAATTGGCAAATGATGTCATAAATCTCTTATTGATGCACTTCTGAAAATTGAAAATGCGAAAATGTGGAAGATAATAATCAAAATTCTGTTACAGAACCAATAGAAAATAGTTATGCATATATGTATATGCATGTCGGTGGTCGTGATAGGAACACTACACCTCTAAAGCATCTATATGTAATCCTAGTGGCAAAACGAAACAGGACTGTCAAGCCTAGACAAACAGCTGCAGACTTTGCAACTAATACCGATACACATGTTTCTGCCAGAACCATCTAACGGCGTTTTAAATAAATTGGTTTGTATGCACAGAAACTAATTTGATGCATCTCGCTTCAACCAAGCCATCATCGAGAAAGGTTACGTTTGTGTAAGGAATGTATATGTTTGGGGTCATTGACAGTGATCCAGAGTGATGTTCTATGACGAATCCCGTTTCACTGTGACAAATTAGTGTGACCACCACCTCCATTAGTGTGGAGTGAGAAGGGAACACGTTATGCACAACAGTATGCTCATGAACGTGGTAGGTGTAGCTCAGGTGTGCTGGTGTAAGCAGGCAACATGCACTACAAGGCTTTACATCTTTGAGCGAGGTAGCGCTACATCCCAGCCGTATTGCCGAGAGATTATTCTGGATTATGCTCGTCCTTTTAGGAGTGTGGTAGGTCCTGAATTTCTGTTTATAAACGACAATGCTTGCCCACATAAGAGCGCTGACATATCGCATATACTAGAAAGTGGAGGTATTGTCCGTATACGCGATAGTCTGCGCACTACTCAGATCAGCAGGCTATACAGCCTGCATGTGATGCCCTTGGCAGGCGTGTTTCCCAATGAAGACTCCCTTCTCAAACAGGGTAAGAGCTGATAGCCACCGTAATAGCGAGTGGAACAATATCTTCCAAGAACATTTTGATAGTTTAGTGGACAGCATAAATAACAGGTGCAAAATATGCATTAGTGTCCAAGGTAATCATACATCTTACTGAGATGATTATACCCGTTTCATTCACGGCTGTTTGAAAAATCTTCTAAGAGGCATATCTTTTATATTTATCTTCTTATTTTTCGATGTGATAACAGATTTGTACTATTTTGCATTCGAATAAATACAAGCTAAATATGTATTTACTTCAATTCTTTCAATCAATGTCTATATAGCAATTATCAAGCAGNATATATATATAAGGTATATAGGTGCTAGATAAGGCTACAAGCCATATCCAGCACCACTGCCACTTGCTCCATTAACTCCAACTTGCACCATATCTTTCACCTGATGCTCCATCATATCTTCCAGTACTAAACAAGTCTATAAATATTACAAAGTATTAACGAAATTTTATAGATATTGATAGATAAATGCTGATTTATGCTGATACAGAATTGAGATCATATTACTTTTACGAACGTGTTCAAATTTCATATTTCCCTAAAGTTGAATAAAAATGGACCAAAATGGTTCCGTATGGTTTTTCTTAAAATATGTGTAAGAATGTAAATAAAAGAATTGCAGTGCTTAGTCTTAAAAATTCATCACAGGTACAAATAATTATATTCTTATAAACTGGTTTTATTGGTATTGGTCTATATGATTAAAAATTCCACGAAACTAATAAATTTAAAAGGCAGTCCAACTAAGCCCACGGATTACATAGAAAATTTGATTTTCACTGTTGTTGATACGGGGCAAAATTAATATGAATCAGCCATAGCTGGAATGCGAGGCATGTCTCCTCATTGGAAGAAAAGCCGCCTGTCCCTTAATCCCCCACGGCTCGGCTGGAATTAATTAAAACATTGAGAAATATATTATACATATAAAATTCAATAATGTTTTTATAATGCAATAAAAGGCGACTGACCATATCTTCTAAAACCGCCGCTGGATCCAAATCCTCCGTTAACTGCTCTACCATGTCTTCCAGTATTATCCATACCTAAAAGTATTATAATTAAAAACTGAACACTTTTTTTCCCAGAAAGATACGACAGAAAAAAACTTGGTTCAAAATTGATATTTCTATTAAATTAAATAAAAACTAGTCAAAATGTTTACGAAAGATTTTTTGAAATATGGGTAAGAACTGGTATATTACCGAGAACGACAAATGCCAAAATATTAATTATTATTACAATGATAGTGAAATATGTATTGAATTTTAAAGGTCGACTTAATTTTATTCTACATCATTTTAAATCGCGAGATATTGAAAATCCAACTATTTATGAAGGAGATTACACTAGCAACCTGTTATATTGATAATATATGAGTCATAATTTCCATAAAAATTATAAAACTCTACACACCATGTTTAACAATGTCAGCTCTTGTTCTATATTCTCCACCAGATGCTCCTACGCCACCGCTGCTTTCTCCAAATCTACCACCAGATGCTTCACCTTGTCCACCACCACCGAAGCTGTTTGCCTTATATCCTCCAACAGATGCACCACCATGTTTTACAGCACGGAACAAGCCTTGAAACATTATAAAAATATAATTCAAAAACACTTGCTGAGAGAAATACAAAACACCAAAAATTTTAAGAAAATGTTCAAAACTTATTAATTAATAAAATTTTAGCAACGAACACTTATAATGTAAAAATATTTAAAAAAATACGTTATTATTTGCATAAATAATATAAAATGCTACACACCAACTTTGCTAGCATTTGTTTGATATCCTCCATTAGATGTTTCAACCCCACCGTTTGCTTTAAATCCTCCCCGAAATTTCTCGCCATCGAAGCCACTTGCTCTATATCCTCCACCAGATGCTTCACCTTGCTTTCTATCACTAGACAAGACTGTAAATATTTTAAAAAATATTAATGAATATTTGCGAACAAAAATATAGAACATCAAAAATTATAAGAACGTGTTAAAAGTTTAATAATAGATAAAGTCATGGGGAAAGGACTTCAAATAATATCTTACTGTTAGCGTACGACTTCTTTTTAATGTATTTTCAAGAACTAAAAGTAAGAAAATGTGAAATACAATTATAAAAAACTATGTCATTCGTGCCAGAAAACCTTTCTTTTTTTATAAATGGGCCTTATTTTTCTCCATATCGCTTTATTTATCGAAACGCTAGAAATTCTGCTAACTTTAAAGATTAAAAGTTCAGTACTATTTATTTTAAAGTCTTGTAAGTCATTATTTTTGTATAAAGATTATTAAAGTGCCACTCACCGAATCCACCCCTACCGCCACCGCTTGCTTCATATTCTTTACCATGTCCCCCAAGACCGCCGCTTTCTGCTTTATATGCTCCACCAGATACTCCATCTTGTCCTTCAACACCACCACTTGCTACATATCTTTTACCAAATACTCCACCAAGACTTCCAACACCACTGTCCCTGGCTCTATACTCTCTACCAGATGTACCACCAGCCATGTCCAGATGACCCCCAAGACCACTGCCTCCTGCTCTATATATTTCACCAGATGTTCCACCAAAACTTCCAACAGACTTGCCTCTTGCTACATATTCTCCACTAGATGCTCGAATTACTCCAACATCGCTACTCTTTCCTCCATATTCTCCATCAGATACTCCATCTTGCCCTTTATCCCCTCCATCTCTAGCTCCATGTCCTCCAGCACTGGCCAAAACTTTAAGCATTAAAAAGATTTAATTAATGATGAGTTACTGACCGAAGCATATAACATCACAATTTGTATATAAATTGTAAAATACTGCACACCATATTTAACACCGCCACCTTTTCCATGTCGTCCAGTACCATTACCGCTAGCTTTATATTCTCTAAAAGATATTCCACCATGTCCTCCTGCACTTGACGATCATTTAAATTATAAAAATTTATTAATGAACAATTACTGACAGAAACATAGTACACCAAAATTCTTTAAGATCATGTTTAAAATTATTAAATTAGTAAAATTATGTGAAAATGCTTTCAAATGTTATCATACTACTTTTAGAAATTATGAAATGCTACAAACCATATCCACCAGCAGCGCTGCCCCTTGCTCTGTATCTTCTTCCATATCCTCCAACCCTTCCCCCGCTTGCTCCATATCCTCCACCAAATGCTCCAACTTGCCCTAAAGTACCAAACAAGGCTTTAAATAGCATAAAAAATGAATAAACGCCTGCTGGCAGAAACATAGGACACCAAAATAAAATTAAGAATGTGGTTTTATAAAAACTACAGCTTTAGAAAATTTGACAAATTTTTTTTTATTTTAAAAATGCCATGAAATGGTACTGACCATATCTTCCACCACCACCGCCTGGTCTATATGCTCCAGCAGTAGCCGTACCTAAAAACATTATTAATATATTTAAAATCGGAACTTTTTCTCAGAAAGATAGGTCAATGACAAATTTGAGAACATGTTCAACTCTCATATTTCTGCTAAGTAAAAATTTATCAGTAAAGATGAGTCAAAATGTTTCCGTGGGACTTTTCTAGAAATATGTGAATGAACTGAGCAAAATACGAAAACACAAAGAATAGTTTTAAAACTTCGTCATTGATACAATAGAATTTTGCTCTTACCGATTGCTTATATTTTAATGAAAATGGTTTTCAATTTTTACAAACAGAGAAATTTTACTACCTGTATTTTAATCAAAATGGTTTTCAATTTTTACAAGCAGGGAAATTTTACTAATTTTGAAAGTTGGTTCACCTAATCGCTGAAAATAGCTGTGAAAATTAAATAATACAAAAATTTTTTTTATTGATTTTAAAAGGCGACATACCATTACTGACCATATCCTACACCGAAAACCGCTAATTAATACATATCCTGTGCCAGTTGCTTTAGCATATCTCCCAACACTAACCATGCCTAAAAGTTTATAATTAATTAAACCTGAACAAAATTTCACAGAAAGATAAAACAACGAAAAACATTCTTCATTTTTTTTATTTCTGTGAATTCAAATTAAAATGCATCAAAAGATTTTTCTAAAACTTTTCTTGAAGAATGCTAACTAACAACTTAACAAAACTAGAAAATGAAAATAATAGTTAAAAAGTTTCGTTACTTGTGAAAAGTAGCTTATTCTTATGAATTTGTGTTGCTGTTTTTGTTTCGATAGTATTTTCAGCAATATATGTCACGAAACGTGAAATTCCAAACAATTAGGAAAGAAATATTTCTGGTTGCAGAAAGTTAGTAGAAATATTGAGAGAGAAAAATAATGATTAGACTTTTATTATTAAAAACTAACATAAAGCTACACACCATGCAGTTTACTTCCTCTGCCATATCCATAACCATATATTCCACCAAATCGTGCAGCATTCGGCAAACCTGAAATTTTAAAAAGAAAGAAAACTAAATAATAAATTATGGATGACAAAAATGTTGGAATTCCAAAAACTTTAAAAACGTATTATAATTTCATCATTTTCCATTTAAAAAAGAAAAATGCTTCCAAAAGTAATTATAAGATTATTCTTTATTTATTTGCAAGATTTTAAGGTTCAAAAAAATTTAAATATATATCTATATAATTTTAAAATAAAACCTCCACTGATGCAATATAAGTTGTTTCATATAAATAATAAAATATTTTTCCATGTATCATTTTAAATTTCAAGATAATTGAGAAGTTATTTAACGAAGTAGGCTAGATGTTTAGACAAAATAAAACCACACCATATCCAAAACGTATAATCAAAGATATGTATGATAACAGCAAAGCATGTATAGAAGTTAATGGAGAATTAACTGAATTCTTTTTGGTAAAAACTGGCGTGAGGCAGGGATGTGTTTTATCAGGATTTTTATTTATGCTGGTGATAGACTGGATTATGCGAAACAGCTTGAAAGATGAAAAAAGAGGAATAAGGTGGAATTTCACAACTACTTTAGAAGACCTTGATTTTGCTGATGACATCGTACTGATTTCATCCAAATGTACAGACCTTCAGCTTAAAACAGACAAATTCAACAAATATTCAAATAGTGTAGGTTTATTCATAAACAAGAAGAAAACTAAAGTAATGAGAATAAATCAAAAGAAAAATGACAAAATTAAAATTGAAAATCACAAAATAGATGAGATAGAGTCATTTAGCTATTTAGGCTCTATTGTAGATAAAAAAAAAGGTGGAAGTAGTGAAGATATTAGACAGACAATCATAGACAGAATAATCAAAGCAAGCACATGTTTTAAGGGATTACATAGGTTTTGGAGAGGGTCAAATATTGAAATAAAGACAAAAATAGTTGTTTACAAAGCTATTGTTAGAGCAGTACTATTATATGGCGCAGAAACCTGGAAACAGACTAAGATCGAAATACATAAATTGGAAACCTTTCCAAACAAATGTTTAAGATTTATTTTAAAAATTTCCTAGCCTTACAAAGTATCAAATCAAAATCTATTAAAGAAAGCTAAAATGAAAGCAATAGAGGATGAAATTAAAAAACGAAGGCGGAGCTGGCTCGGACATATCCTTAGAATGCCCAAAGAAAAAATTACATCTGTTGCGCTTACATGGGAACCAGACTTACCATCCAGGACATGTTTTTGGGCGAATTAAAAGAATGTAGAATATCTGGCTGGGAGGAAGCAAGATCTATTGCTACAGACAGGAGGCGCTGGAGGGATATGCTAGAGGCCTTAAGTGCCCAAAGGCACGTAGAGGATAAGTAAGTAAGTAAGTATATCCAAAACGTCCAACACTAACTCCATATCCTCTACCGTATCTTCCAGCACTAGAGCCTATGAGCTTTATAAAACTAATTAACTAATAAACAATGACTGAAAATATATATAGAAAGATAACAATATTTTTAAAAAATTTTTCATGTTGGGATAGTAGTTAACGACAATGTCAACCTTCATCTATGAAAAAGTTTACCAACATAGAATCGAGTTAACGTGTTTTATATACTAGTGAATTGGAATTATAATTTTGTAGTGGTTGATACACTACAAATAAATTATCGTAATTCTTTAAAATCATACAAATATGTGTTTAATTATATTTGCATTAGTGTATTAGTTGTTTCACTTTAACTCTTTCTTTTATAGGCTAACTCAAATGACGTATTATACAAAGTGCTACAAATTAGCTACATCAAGTGAGGTGCCATTTCCCTTTAATAATTATTTTTTAAAATTAATTATTTTTAAAATTAGCTTTTAAAAACTCTTTTATAAGTCAAAGGGCGTGAAACTCTAGATATAGGTTCCTAAAAAATTTTTGTACCANAATATATTTAAAATCGGAACTTTTTCTCAGAAAGATAGGTCAATGACAAATTTGAGAACATGTTCAACTCTCATATTTCTGCTAAGTAAAAATTTATCAGTAAAGATGAGTCAAAATGTTTCCGTGGGACTTTTCTAGAAATATGTGAATGAACTGAGCAAAATGTGAAAATTCAAAGAATAATTTTAATACTTCGTCCTTGATACAATTGAATTCGCTCTTATAAATTGCCTATATTTTAATCAAAATGGTTTTCAATTTTTACAAACAGGGAAATTTTACTAATTTTGAAAGTTGGTTCACCTAATCACTGAAAATAGTTGGAAAAATTGAATAATACAAAAAAAGCTTCGTTATTGATTTTAAAAGGCGATTTAACATTACTGACCAGATCCTACACCAAAAACCGCTAATAAATACAAATCCTCCTCCTGTTGCTTTAGCATATCTCCCAGCAATAACCATGCCAAAAAAATAATAATTAATTACACCTGAACAAAATTTCACAGAAAGATAAAACAACGAAAAGCATTCTTCAATTTTTTTTTATTTCTATGAATTCAAATTAAAATTCATCAAAAGATTTTTCTAAAACTTTTCCTGAAGAATGCTAAATAACAACTTAACAAAACTAGAAAATGAAAATGATAGTTTAAAAGTTTCGTTACTTGTGAAAAATAGCTTATTCTTATGAATTTGAGTAGTTTTTTTTACGATGTTATTTTGAGCAATATATTTCGCGAAACGTGGAATTCAAACAATTTGGAAAGAAATATTTCTGGTTACAGAAAGTTAGTAGAAATATTGAGAGAGAAAAATAATGATTAGACTTTTATTATTAAAAACTAACATAAAGCTACACACCATGCAGTTCACTTCCTCTGCCATATCCATAGCCATATATTCCACCAAATTGTGCAGCATTCGGCGAACCTGAAATTTTAAAAATAAAGAAAACTGAATAATAAATTATGGATGACAAAAAAGTTGGAACTCAAAAAACTTTAAAAACGTATTAAAATTTCATCATTTTCCATTTTTAAAAAAAAATGCTTCCAAAAGTAATAATAAGATTATTTTTTATTTATTTGCAAGATTTTAAGGTTCAAAAATTAAAACATATATCTATATAATTTTAAAACAAAACCTCCACTGATGTAATTTAAATTGATTCATATAAATAGTATAATATTTTTCCATGTATCATTTTAAATTTCGAGATAATTGAGAAATTATTTAGATGTTTAGACAAAATAAAACCACACCATATCCAAAACGTCCAATACTAACTCCATAACTCTACCGTATCTTCCAGCCCTAGAGCCTATGAGCTTTATAAAATTAATTAACTAATAAACAATGACTGAAAATATATATAAAAAGATAAAAATATATTTAAAAAAATTTTCATGTGGGGATAGTAGTTAACGACAATGTCAACCCTCATCAATGAAAAAGTGTACCAACATAGAATCGAATTAACGTGTCTTATATACTAGTGAATTGTAATTGTAATTTTGTAGTGGTAGATACACTACAGTTAAATTATCGTAATTCTTTAAAATCATGCAAATATGTGTTTAATTATATTTGCATTAGTGTATTAGCTTTTTCACATTACCTCTTTCTTTTATAGTCTAACTGAAATGACGTATAATACAAAGTGCTACAATTTAGGTATATCAAGTGGGGTGCCGTTTCCATTTAATAATTATTTTTTAAAATTAAATATTTTTAAAAATAGCTTTTAAAATTTCTTTTATATGTCAAAGGGCGTGAAACTCTAGATATAGGTTCCTAAAAATTTTTTGTACCATACATTTAAAAAAATTTTCGACGTTAACAAATTATTTTATAAAAATTCTTTATCTTAATTCCTCATTCTATTACATAGTTGTCTTTGAACCGAGAGATTATAACTTTTTGTGAAAGAATTCTTATAGTGCAATTAATCATTTAAAAGCTATAAAGATACACATAAACAATAAAAATCAGCTTTTAAAAACTTTGTCGACCCCTCCCCCATATTTTGAGAGTAATAAATCCGAACATGGGCAAAAGAAAGGTATAGTTCTTCAGAAAAAAAAACCTTTTGGCTCGAAACAAGAATATTCTACCACAGTTACAGTTAAGCACCATCCCTATTTTAAGATACTAGATTACCATACGATGCTGGATATCAAAATCATGTTCCTGTAATTGCTGTACCCAACTAAACACTCTTTCCCTCATATTTTTAAAATTTAACAGCACTTTAAGTTTTACGTTTAATATTTTACACAAAAACCTTTTGTAATGTTGAGTTAATCTATAAGAATAGGTATTTTTAAGTAAAAAGTAACAATAGAATGCACACCATAACCACCTCTTCTTCTGCTTGGGTCATAAACTCCCCTGGATGTGCTAACATGGTGTCCTCCAAATCCTCCGCCATATTTTCCAGCACCAGACATGCCTAAAAATTATGATGGACATTAAGTGGTGCCATAAAGTAATGCCAAAGCACTAAAAAGTTTATTACTGCACCAATCGTTCTATAAAAAAGAGGAAAGAATAAATTAAACAAAGAGATTTAAACTTAACTTCACAGAATTTAGAAAAACAAACATACCAAATTCAGAAAAGGATTTCATTTTGTTTACTACCCTTTGAAAAATATCAGCAGAAAAAAACCTTGACCAAAACCTCAGTCAAAGACTTGCAGCTGTACCGAATTTACGTTCCGCTTCTACTTACCGGGGAGACTTTGTTGTTTCTTAAGTTCCTTTATTACTTAGCTGTCTGTAACTATTCCTTTAAGCAAGTCATTTAACTTGCACTTCAAGAATCAAAAATCAATTTTTAATTGAAATGGTATTTTCTAACCCAAAAATTTGACCTTTTCAACCTAACTAAACAATGTAATTGTTTTTACTCGAGAAATCGAAATTTCGGGACAATACACAATTCAGAAAATATTATATATATATATATATATATATATATATATATGTATTACATAGAAA